TCACCTCCAACAGAAACAGCAATCCCCTACAACATGGCTTTGGAACTCTCTAGTGGGTACTTTTGGATGTGAAAGGTGTGTTATGTGTAAATTCATCAAGAGGGACTCAAAAAGTGTTAGGGACAGTGAAGGGAAAAATTAGTTTTAAATCACATCCTTCAACTGTTACATGGCCAGTTTAGTCTATTTACTTACCTGCCAATGTGATCTCAAATATGTTGGGAAGACTTTTCATCCGTTTAAACAACGTATTGGAGAACACATCAGGTCCCCAAAATATCCAGTGGATAATCCCATTTCATGACACCTTCAGTAGGTGAAAAACCAAAGGCGGGCGACTATGACAAATTCCTAAGGCAATGGGAATGCTTTTGGATATAGACTAGAAACACGGAGACCAAAAGCACTTAATGGTGGTTTTTCCTGCTCCCCCTTCCTCTAAAAGATTGTTCTGATTATTTATTCCCTTAGTGTGAATAATATTTTTTTTAGCATCTAATCTATTTAAATCAGTTATTGTTTATCATTGACTCAAAATGTAATGACACTTCTATTTGTTGAATATTTGGACATTGTAAGCAAGGCAGGACTTCCTTTTATTTAAATACTTCTATAACATTATACCTTGATATATTTGTTGTAGCTTCAATTTATTTTGATTAACTCTCTAATATGAGGACAATACTCAGTATATCTGTTGAGATTCCCTTTACTATAAGGGGTTAACCTGCTGTGACAGGCAAGCCGTACTGAGGCATGCTGATCTAATTTCCTTCCGCTTTTCTGGCTAACTCCGCCCCCTCTGACGTCTCCGCATCAGATTGGCCGTATGACATCATTCTAGAGGTGTAGCCTCAACATTTAAATGCCCGGCTGGCTCAGTCTGACGTGATGCTCTTGATAAAGGTGCAATATAGCGCCAAAACGCGCGTCGAGCAAGCTGTTTGGCATGTTCGGTTTGTTTTTATTTTATGCAGGGTCTCCTATGTAGCCAACCAGTTTTTTACTTTAGAGCTGCCTTGAAGCAAGTTATAGGGTAAGCGAGGAGGCAGAGGCTTTCTAGCATAGATATGCTCTTTATAGTAGGGTTGGGACTGATTTGGACACCATTAGTATACTCCTCTAATAACGGGTGGATAGTCTAGTTATTAGTGTCCACAAATAGGTATCTTAAAGGACCACTATAGTGCCAGGAAAACATACTCATTTTCCTGGCACCATAGTGCCCTGAGGGTGCCCCCACCCTCAGGGTCCCCCTCCCGCCAGGCTGGATGGAGAGGAAGGGGTTAAACATACCTCTTTCTCCAGCGCCGGGCGGGGAGCTCTCCTCCACTTCGGTTGAATGCGCAGCAAGAGCCGCGCGTGCATTCAGCCAGTCCATAGGAAAGCATTCACAATGCTTTCCTATGGACGCAAGCTTCTTCTCACTGTGAAGATCACAGTGAGAAGCACGGAAGCCCTCTAGCGGCTGTCAATGAGATTGAAACTGCTATGTTTACAGAAAAAAGGGTTAATCCTATGGTCTTTTTTTTTTTTTTTTAAATATCTCTGCTATCTACATTAGGGCTTGGAGGGAACCCTAATTCAACTGTCTGCTGCCTTTTACCACCTTTGTAATAGATCTCAGCCCTACACCCTTACCATATTTTGTTATTTAATGTTCTGATTTTGCAGTGCCAATGGCCTCACACTGCAGCAAATGATTTTGCCTCATTCGGTGCAATGTCATTCAGACTTTAGTTGATTCATCTGGAGTTTGTAGTTTCTGATGCCTTATCAATCAAGCTAGTGGCCTCAATTGGGAAAGAACAGGCTGAATTTTTAGTCTCCCAAAATTGTGATTTCTATGACACAGAGAGGCTCTTTTTAAAAACTCTTGAAAGATTTTTCCCAAACAGGTCTGTCCTCCATTGGTCCCTTAAAAATCTTAGAGGAGAAGAATTTTTTGAAAATGTTGTGCCCAGATTCATAATAGTTTTGAAAAAAAGTACTCAAATGTATATTGGCACTAAATACAATTTATTTTGCATGTGTTCCAGGTTCATAAATAGGCTGTTTTCAATTGGATTAGGGTTGTGTTTTTTTTTAATTATTATTATAACGGGAAGGGACATGGTGTGAGGAAACAGAAGGTAAGATAATTGAATTTAGGATTATAGACCTAGTTATTGGCAAGATCCACCTTTAAAAAAAAAATCTCAAAATCAATAGTTAAAGGACCACTATAGGCACCCAGACCACTTCAGCTCAAGGAAGTGGTCAGGCTGCCAGGTCCATCTAGAGAAACTGCTATGTTTACAAATGGGTTAATCCAGCCTCTAGTGGCTGTCTAATTGACAGCCGCTAGAGGCGCTTCCGCGCTTCTCACTGTGATTTTCACAGTGAGAATACGCCAGCGTCCATAGGAAAGTATTGAGAATGCTTTCCTATGGACTGGCTGAATGTGCGCGGGGCTCTTGCCGCGCGTTCGCATTCAGCTGATGATGACCGAAGGAGGAGGAGAGTCCCCAGCGCCAAGGGAGCCCAGCGCTGGAGAAAGGTAAGTGTTTAACCCCCTTCAGTCCGGCGGGAGTGGGACCCTGAGGGTGGGGGCACCCTCAGGGCACTATAGTGCCAGGAAAACAAGTTTGTTTTCCTGGCACTATAGTGGTCCTTTAAAGTGAACAAGCTTGTAGAGCCCGTAATTCTTGATGATTAATTTTCCTAGCAAATCAGTGAGTTAAAAACAAACGCAAAGACTTTAAAATGTGCAACTTATTTTTAATAAACATAATATTCAAATACAATATACCCATATATTTTAAATATATTCTGTATTATACAAAATAAAATTGATCCAGCTGAAAGCAAAAATTTAAATTTTTTATACTTTAACATATATTTACAGTTTACAGCTTTGCTAATTGTATAGGGCAGGTTTGATTGTATGTCTCATAATTGATCAGCAAGCTATCAAAGCTGTTTCCATGTCATAACACAGGCAAAAGTATCTAGTGAAAGTGACTTTTAATAAATGTGTCACAGAAAGGACCAATATTATTCATACAGTTCAAGTCACAATAAGTTGAATTTATACTTGTATTTGGAGTGAGAGCTTTGTGCAAATTAACATTGAGATCACGTTGGGTTGTTCAGATAGGAGAATCCATATCGATAGTTTTTCTATGCTAATCAGGAAGCAATCAATGATGAACTGTAAGGAACTGATCAGAGAAGCATGCTACATTATTTTGTCTTTAATTTAGCAAATTAAGTTTTCAGTGTGTCCAAATTCACTGTTTAGTATTTAAACCCAAAAATATTTAAAACAAAATGCATGTTTTTCAGAATAATATTACATATAGATTGATTTGATAGAAATAAGCTATACTTATTTATAAATTAAAGTTGTGCATTAAAATAATGCCCAACTATGCATGTATTTGAATTTAAAGGGTGCATTATGCACCCTAATCACTACTGCTTGTTTATTTGTAATGATGCAATGAATCATTACGTTCTTAGAGAAAGTTTTTGAGAAGTTTGACAAAACCTGGGTTTTCCATAGCACCCAAAGGCCATGATCTTTATGGTAACTTGGATAATGCTGAGCTTATATGTATGCATCATCTGTCCAAAACCATCCAGCTTTGGATAACAGTCATAGGGTATGAATGCTGGGCTATCTCGCCACCAGCGATTACAGCCTGTCATTGACATCCAAATTTAAATGATTTAGCATGAATATCAGAAGTGTGATACCAAAAGACTCATTGTGTCAAAACCACTGCAAGGAGCTGTACTGATTTGTGTGCTTTCAATACTCCGTTAAAACTGTTGCTTAAGACACTGCTTCTTAAAACCTATTATGTGAAAATACAAAAAAGTCTTTATAAAGTAAAACTTTTAAAATAATATGTTTTTTTTTTGCACCAGCAGATACTTTTAGCAAGTACACCAAAGCTTAATTATTGTACCTATAAAGTCAGCCATATGACAATTTCATAGAATTGTAACTATAGTAACACGTGACCATTACCAGCAAGTATGGATTAATAAACAAAACATTTGAGGTTTGCTCTAATAACGGTTTACATGATTCAATAACATATGAAATAGCCAAATTTGTGATGCATTTATATGAGAGCAGAGCTATAATCACTGCGTGATAAGACATAAATTACAATTAGCTATCTATGCGTATAGCTAGTCTCATATAAAACAATGCTAGAGTATTAAAAATACCTGCATTTCTCATGCTATAGTGGCACAGTTCATAGTTCGATTAGAGCCCTCCCTCTTTCAACTGCAATACATATAATAATAAAAAAATGTTTTACTTATCTTTTCTTCAGGGCTAAAATTCCCTTGGTGCTGCTTAGTGGCAGAACTAATGTAGAGAGGGCCATGTTGCAATAAAGTTTTTTGGGCTCCCCTCTAGTGCAAGAGTGGCAAAAAGGTAGATCCCCATCTGTCATACAACACAATTGATGTTATGCCAGCTGGTAATCTACCATTTGCCTATAAGTGCGCGGTTGTATCTGTGCGCAGTGTTTGTGCATTTGAATTTAAGCATGTTTTTTGTATAGAGTATATGTGTGCATATAGGGGTGTATTTGTATGTACTGTTGCCATTGAAACGCAGTGGGGTATTTGTGCGTAGTGTTTGCGTTTGCTGGGGTATGTTTGTATGTAGTGTTGGCTTTTAAAGGCAAAGGCTCTTTTGTGTGTAGTGTTGGTGTTTGATCGAAGGGCTGCTTGTATATAATTTTAGTGTTTTAATACAGGAGTGTGTTTGGATGTAATGTTGGCTTTTAAATGCCGATGTATATTTGTATGTAGTATTGGTGTTAGTGTGGAAAGGTATGTTTGTATATAATTTTGGAGTTTAAATGCAGGGCTATGTTTGTATGTAATATTTATGTTAGATTGCAGGGGTGTGTTTGCATGTTGTGTTGATGATTCATTGCTTACATGTATGCACGTATGCACATACATTTCCACATACATGCAAACTTAAACAGATATATATACACACATATAAACACTGACACACTTACACACACTGACACATGCACAGACACACATACACTGACATACTGACACACTTACACACCTTGACAGACATAAACACACAATGACATACATACACAGATGCAAATCCTGACAGGTGCATAGACATGCACACTGACATACATACACACACACACACACACACTGAAACATGCACATACCCTGAGACACAGATACACACACACACACACACACACTTTCAGACATCCACCCTGACATACAGATACACACACTGACAAATATACATACACAGACACACACTCAGACACATACACACACACACCTGGACACAGATACACACACAATCAATCAAACATACATAAAAACATCCATGTGATAATTTTCTATTTTTGCAGCCTCCCTCCTGTTAGCTTACCTTTTATGTCCAGGAGGGTGGTTGCCTGAGGTCCTTCTCCAGCTTCTGGCTGAGGCTGATGGGAACGAGTGTGGGATCTGCTGCAGCTCCCTACAGCCACTCTTTCCCTCCAGTTGCCTGTCTGTGCTGCTTCCTCCCACGTGGCACTCTCTATTTAACAGGGAGGAAGTGATCAGATGTCAGTTCCTCCCAGCCAGCCGCCACTACAGCGGCCTGGTCACGGTCTTAAAGGGCCGCAGTGGCCAACCAGGCTCCTGTTAAGCAATACAGCTATATTATCCATCGGGTGACCCTTAAGTCCGAGGGCCACCCAATAGGCTCCTAAAAGTGTGCAGGCCCCAGTGCAGCTGGAGTGGCGCCACGGGTGCTGCTGCATGCTCCACCACCCATATCACCCGACACACTGTCTAGTCGATGGCTCCAATACAATTCTCTTCATGCAAGGTGAGTGCCACGTACACATCCAAATGCTTCTCATAGGAAAACATAGGATGATATCCTATGATTATGAGCTGCATTTGGTCACATAACTGAGCTTCACTCGGTCGTTGTAGAGTAGGCATTTCTAGCGACTGTAAGGAAGGTAGCCACTAGAGGTGTGTTTAACCCTGCAATGTAAACGTATTTTCTATGAAACTACAATATTTTACATTGCAGGGTTAAAACTAGAGGGCCACTGCGCTTAGACCACTTCATTTTGATTAAGTGGCCTGGTGCATTTAGTGGTCTTTTAAACAACTGGATTTTATTGTCTATATATTGTGCGGACCAGTCCTCCTTGAGTATGCAAAATTAGAACCTATGTAAAACGTATCAAAATAACTAAAAACTCTGGGTCACTTTAATAATACACTGTTTCATAAATGAGTGTGATTATTCGAAAGAAAAAAAAAGTGTTTTTTTTTTCTTTTTTTTTACAGCAGTTGAAAGTACAGTGCTGGAACTCCCCCCCCCCCCAAAAAAAGATATTTAGAGGTGCAAGTATCAGAGTTAACTATTCATCAAAACCGTACAATTCAATACTAATACATAAAATGTGACACTGCACTCTCAAAAAGAAGCGCTCATTCCAAAATATTACGTTTGCATATTTTTGATATAGACACTTCAAGTGTTGAAATGTTGCCAATTCTTGTTTGATGGCTGAATAAATCACCACTACAACTTATAGCCGTGTGCGGAGTTGTAGCTGAGGCACAGTCGTCAAAGTTTAGATAATTTGATTGAGTACCCTACAATGATTATTTGTATTTATCTTGAATATTAAGGGTGTGAGAATATTTTAATTGTTTTTATGCTAGATTTTTATTTTTTTTGCTATTTTTTTTTCTGCACTTTATGCACCATTATTCACAGTGTGTTTGAATTTATTTGATAAAGGAAGAAATATTCCTAAAAAAATAATATTCACTATTTACTATATAACCCAAAATGAAAGGATTCATGCATCTAATTATGCATTTTTTTCAATCGGGATATAGCTAAAAACATCTTACAAAAGCTGAAGATCTCTTGTCTGCAGCCGTTACAAGTCTCCCTCCCCCTAACCACTTCATCCCCAGTCCAGACTTTCTATGCCTGTCCAAGCACACAGGGTTATTCACTAAAGTGAGATTTCAAATTCAAGGCCAAAGTGGCCAAACTGGAATCATATCTGATGTAGAGATTTCACCAGTTCATGTGCAAAGTACATTAGGTAAGTATGTAATGTTTAATTGCCGTCTGTGTGTTATTCAGGTTAAATACCTCTTAACATCTGAATGCATCGTGCACACTATTATATAATATTGGCAGGTTGATTCACTCAGACAGTCACTGTAAATTTAAATTCAAGGTAACCAAGTCTGGAAGCATAGCTGACTTGGACATTTTTTCGTGTTAGGCTATTTGGACGTTAAATTAGTTAACTTTTATAATGCATTTTGAATTCCTGACAATTTTCTTACTAGTGAATAACCACTTCAGAAAATGTTAAATGTCTGTGCTTTCCAGAATATGGCCTATTTTAGAAAACAAAATTATAAATTGTTGGCAGATAGTACAGAGTTTTATATATCCTATATAATAAGCAATAATTTCAATGTACAATGTAGTATGCTACAGTGTCCTTACAGCTACATATGGAAGCAATCGTGTTACTTTTAGGTCATACTTGCTATTATGCTGAGATTTTCAATACATATAAAATGCATGTTATTTTTTGTAGCAGTCAGGCCTTGTTCCTCATGTCATGTTCATTCTAGTTTAATTGTTTAATAGTTTAAATGTTTCTGGGCAAAGGTGAATGTCATAACAATCCAACTGTTAAGATAAATAAAGTTGAATTCCGGTATTATTTCACATTCTTTGTCTTCAGCTTACAACAAGTAGATTCACATATTTGATCCAGTCTAAAACGTGCAATAAAGCTTTTAAAGTAATATACATTCATTTTAAGAGTGGCTTTTTATAAAATATAGAAAAGCCAAATGGCAAAAATATTGGCAGGCAGCTTTGCAGTGTTCTGCAGAATAGTCATTTGTGCATAGTCATGTTACGGACTGTCTAAAAAAAATAGCAATATTTAATGAAAGCTGGCAAATTGATAGGTTTCAACTAAATACTATCACATTTTCTCATTCTATCACAATTACTACTCAACGATTGCATATTGCAAGTAGGAATAAGTTGGCAACTATGTTTTGAGATTTCAATACTCAGACAATCTCTCCAGGTAACAGTCATATATTGGCAACTGCGGCACTAACAATCATTTCCTTTAAGATGTCCATCAAAGGAGAGTCTGTCTTTCTCTATATACACAATGCAAAAGGCTCTTAAGGCTCCTAATGGATGTGTACCACATGAATCAAGTCCGCTGAGGTAGGTTTGTATTTCTCTTCAACATTTTGTTCTTTCTTTGGAGGCTTTACTAAGAATAAAAAGGAGAGATTTTCCTTGAAATATCGAACAGTACAAATAATAACACATTACTGTCTAAAATCTACATTTGACATTTATCCACACTGTATAACTTTTAAGGATATGCTGTATTGGTTGGCCATAACAGAATGCTAAAAAATGCTAATAATCCTCTTATTTCAACACAGCCACCCCCCCCACCCCTCAAAAAAAACAACATTTTATTCATCCATTACATGATTAAAAATTATTGCTTAAGCACTGACAGTAATGTTATACTTTGGTGTTAGTGGTATGTTTTACCTTTATTTGCACACAAATGTGAATAGTGCAAGTTAATTTGATATGCAAGCTATATTTCTTTCTGACTATATTACATATTTGCATATCATTCACAAGCCGCAGCAATAGGTAACTCAGCAGAACTGCAAGTGGGATATTCAGTTGGACAGAAAGAAAGCTAAATGTGTGTGTGTATATGCTCCTGTGTCTGTAGTTCTCAAACATTAGGTTACATGCTTGAGGACAATTCACTAAAATTAATGTGTCAGCTGATTACAAATGGAAAATCAACACGAAAATTTCTAGAAATGATTTTGTTCAATTTGCTTGTCATTTAATATTTCACTGTTTAGTGAATTAAAGATTCGGTGAAATGTTTGTTTAAAAAAGCTTGCACACAATAATTATTTTGACGTATATATTTAATGCTATACAACCAGCACATCTTATTTTATTATCTCAACATATAAAGAATAAGTAGATACACTGATAACACTGCATTTCGTACTGAATGCATTGATGAGCTCTATTACTTATATAGATGTAAACTATTTATAGTACCTTTACTTTTCCTTTTTCATCATGGTCACAAGTTTCATTGTGAAATCCACCAGTTGTTATCTAAAATAGATTAAAGAAAATGCATTGCATTAGGCAAAATGTTTGTTCTACTTCTCTGACAGCAAGGAGTACACTCCCCACAGAGGTCACCACCTCCTCTAACTGACACTCTCACAGTTTTGTATGATAGAACCTTTGTTGCATGAAAGAAAGAAAAAAAACATGGATAAACCTATTGATTTCATAAAAAATTAAATAAAATGAACCTTTGGTTTTATCTGTTATATTTTGTAAATTTTCTTTCTTTGCTTCTTCTTAACCTATAATCTATTGGGTTTATTGAACTAAATACTGATTTGTGAAATTTAGGCCAAGCTGTGACTATAGCTGAGAGAATGGAATGTTTAGAGATACTCAGCTTCTTTGGCCTCAGTTTTGCAATTAGTATTTTAATTCCATATAATTCCATAGTTAAGTACATATCCCTGCTCATAATTTATTAAGAAATGGCAACATTTTATTGTGCTGGAAATAAAAAACCCATATGCAATACGTTAAAATAATTTTTTTAGTCATTGTATACAATTCTTATAGGAACAAAATGATCTTAATATGGAATATGAATAATCTATTTGAATAATACATAAAGATTTATTAAGGCTTTACTATTTAAGATGAACCATGTATGGTTTTATAGTAATCTCTTCTTAAGTGGACATATGGCAATCTTAAAACTAGATTAAATGTCTGATTTGTAAATAAATATGGTCAATTACACATAAATCTCACCCTAAGGTACATGGCCAAACATTGTGGTAGGCGCAACCAGTGGGCTTTGTGTTCTCCAGTGATGGACAACACAAGTAACCACCATTACATTATTCAAATGGATGTAGACTTGGAGACCTACAGCAGCTTAGATGTAGATGAAACCTGGAGAGCCCCAGGTTTGAGTCCCATGACAAGGATAAGGAAACCTCAACTCTACAGGCAGTAATGACCATTCCACCATTGCGAGCATCTCCTGTGAGATCCGTTTGGCACAGGTATACTTCTGCGAGAAACAGTCTCACACCAAGTCTTTTATTTATCATAGAACTGAGACCTCTTGGGGAGGTTGGTACATAAACTGGTGTATGCACAAAATCTTGTTTGTATCTATTTTGTAGCAACTTTCCTATAAGACTGTATCTAAGGATAAGGAGACTCAAATATACTCATATACATGTTATCAATGTGTTTTCAGCATTACTTCTGCTACTGACTAGACATTTCATTAGCTGGAATATACAACAGACAAGAGGTAACCCATTGAACTTGGAAGAAAGGCGTTCTTTACAGTAAACACACTAAAGATGCAGACTTCTCTACCAAAAGAGGTTGCCTTATCAGATTCTCAGGAAGCGTTTGTGCAAGCTTTATTATTATTAGCTTTATTATTATTATTAAAAATAACAATAACAGAGTATTCAATGATATAATGAATATGAACAGGTTATTGATCCAATTAAAAATCTGATTGCCATTATGGAGTTTTTACTTTTTTTGTGATATAATTGGAAGTTACTATAATTTGATTTTTTGCCTTTTTTTTGGATGAACAGCATAAAACATCAATCAACTATTTTGGGGAAAACCCATGGAGCATTAGTAAAATTGAACATCAGAGTGAACTAATTAGTAGTCATCAGGATTGATCAGAATGTGAAGGTTTATATCCATAAGATCTACCTTAGTTTGTGAAATGGCAATTATGGACTAAATGACAGAGTTTCTTGAAGGTTTACCTTGAGAAAGTAGTTGAGGGTTTTGAGATCCAGCATTTGACCTGGGCAAAATTAATAGTTACCTACAAGTCAGCCATGGTTTCAGCATTAACAAATTGTTCAACTTTGCATATCATCACATCTGTCTCACCATTCTGGTGACATCTCCTGAGAATGTGACCCCTTTGTTTGAACGCTGCTCCTGGGAACCTGAGCTGCTCCCTCCAAGTGAATTCTTTCTAATAATCCCTGTAAATAGTAATATGAAGCACATATTAATTTACACTAGAAAGGCTTATACATGAAACAGGAAGCCTAATGAAGTAACATACAATATGGATACCTCTGCTTGCCAATACACTCTCTCGTTCTCTCTCTCATATTTTATATAATATCTATTCAGGGCACATTTTCTGCTCACCACCAGCAACTGGCAGAAAGAAATTTACCTCCGTGAGTATGCCATATATTCTTCAGGCTTCCAATGTGGAGTTACTTTTAAGGCCTGGTTAGTAGTACATATACAGGCTAAACAAATAATGGAGAAATACGACTAAGCAATAAATACGCATTTCGTGTCTAATAGGAGATACTTCTTCAGCCTACTAGATGTAAAATGTGTATTCTTGCTTTGTGGTGTCCCCAAGTTATTTGTTTTGCCTGTATTAGGATTTATTTTCCTTGTACATTATTTTGTTTTCTGCCTAGTGTATTTCTATGATGTTTTTTTCACCATAAATAAGCAACTACAAGGATTATGTTTTTTTACTTTGGAGATTATCAAGAGTGCAATATATTCCTCATTTCTCATTTACTTCAACTCAATGAAGTGGTCTGAGGGCCATGTCCCTCTAGTCTTAACCCTGCAAGTTAAAATGTTTCTAATTGCTGTTACTCTGACAGCCACAAAAATAGATAAATAAAACTGAGCTATTTCAATCATATGGCCTCATAGAGACTAGCTGGTTAGTGTGGTGCTGCATTTTTCCTATGGGAAAGCATTGGATTGGCTGAGATAATCAAGACTGACTATCACAGCCAAGAAGGCAGGGCCAGCTACAGAGAAGCAATGCAGTATGGGGTAAAAGATGAGTAAATTACTTTTAAGCCTTGCAGGGTTGAGTACGACACTATAAAGTTAGGAATACACATTTGCACTAATGTTCCCTTAAGCTAAGGTTGTTATGGTGTTATGACCTTAAACATGCCATTGTAGTACCTATCCTGAAATAAAAAAATCTCTTGTCCCGTCCTTCCCCTATAACTATCGTCCAATATACCTGCTCCCTTTTTCCTCAAAGCTTCTGGGAAGACTTGTCTTTACCCGTATGTCTCACTTCCTCAATTCCAACTCTCTTCTTGACCATCTTCAATCTGGCTTCCGCCCTCTCCACTGTACGGAGACTGCTCTTATCAACGTTACTAACGACCTAAACACAACTTAATCCAAAGGCCACTACTCCATTCTAATTCTTCTTGACCTCTCTTCTGCCTTTGACACCATTTATCATGCTCTTCTTCTTCAAACTCTTTAATCACTCGGTCTCTGTGCTCTCGTGGTTTTCCTCTTATCTCTCCCAATGCTCATTCAGTGTCTCCTTTTCTAATGATCCCTGCTCCCCTCGTCCTGTCTCTGTTGGAGACCCAAAGGCTCTGTCCTTGGTCCCCTTCTATTTTCTCTTTATACTGCTTCCCTTGGCAAACTTATTACCTCATTTGGATTCCACTACCACCTGTACACTGATGACACACAGATATATCTCTCCACCCCGGACCTTTCCCCTGCCATCCTGCTTGCCTTTCTTCCATCTCTGACTGGATGTCCTCACGCTTTCTGAAACTCAATCTCTCTAAAACTAAGCTCCTTGTCTTTCCTCCTCCTAATACTGTTCCTCCTCTTTCACTCTCCCTTCAAGTTAGTGGTATCCACATAAGTCTATCATTGCAAGCGCGCTGTCTTGGCACCATACTTGATTCTGTACTCACCTTTGAGCCTCACATCCAGTGTGTTGCCAAATCCTGTAGATTCTGTCTTAAAAACATAGCCCGCATCCGTCCCTTTCTTACGCAAGATGCTACCAAAGAGCTTGTCCATGCTCTGGTAAGGTAATTTCCCACATGGATTATTGTAACCCTCTCCTAATTGGTCTTCCCAACAGCGGTACTACCCCGCTGCAGTCTGTAATGAATGCTGCCACCAGACTGATTTTCCTCTCTAGTCGGTCCTCTCACACCTCACCCCTCTGTGAGTCCTTACAGTGAATTCCTGTATCCTATAGGAGTCAATTCAAAGTGCTAACCCATACCAATAAAGCACTTAACAATTCTAGCCCCTCTTAAATCTCTTCACAGATCCATAGGTATGCCCCTTTTCGGTCTCTCAGCTCTGTCCGTGACCACCTCCTGTCCGTTGTCCGCACCTGTACAGCCAACTTACGCTTGTAGGACTTCTCGCGGACGGCTCCCTTCCTATGGAATAGCCTGCCTACTGCCATGAGACTGTCCCCTAGTCTTCAATGATTTAAGAAGTGCCTTAAAAACAGTCTCCTTAGGAATGCTTATGGCCTTCCAGAGTAACCTCTACCTCACATACCTGTCTCTTGCTCTCTCCTAAAGGGCAGGACTTTACTCTCTCCTCCAGCTCTGCTTCACTCCCACCTTATTTGAGTGCCATTTCCTGTCCTAATGTTTTATACCCCACCTCCTATAGACTGTAAGCTCGTTTGAGGAGGGTCCTCTTCAACCAATTGTTCCTGTACGTTTTCTTGTAATTGTCCTATTTATAGTTAAATCCCTCCTCTCATAATATTGTAAAGCGCTACGGAATCTGTTGGGGCTAAATAAATTGTGGTAATAATAATAATTGGGGCTATAATAATAATAATAATAATGGTGCTTTGCGTGTCCCTTAATGCTTTTGTGTTTTAACTGCTACTGACACAAAGTTATTAAGATTGTAATGGAATTAAATACTAATATTAGTAAACTAGGCACAATATGATGTGCCCTTTGTTTCCAAAAATGAAAATAAAAAATGTATGGTATGTGGTAAACCAGCCTTAGACAATTTACCTGTTGCTGATAAAAGATCTAGCCTCTGCAGGCTGTTTCGTCTTGATTGATTGAAACTGCCTTTTGAAAGGCGCCTCTGTCGACTGGAAAGCATGGCTGCTGGAGACACAATACCTGGAGGAGGTACTTTTCCCATTCTGTAGTACAATTCTTCAATCTCCTTTTTCTGCAGTGCCTGTAACACTTGAACTTCTGACATGTGTCTAACGAGAAAAACAAAAAGGGACACTTACAGCTAAATTGTATATATAGGGATTAGAAAGGCTACACACTTGACAGTAATGACAATAGATTAGCAACACTGATTACCCAACCTGCTGTCACCTCAAAACATTATTTAAAAAACATTTGAAATTATTTGATTCATACATTCCTATCCATAGTTTTAAAAACGTAATAAAAGTGATTGGGTTAACTAAAAAAAAAAGAAATTACATGCATTAGCTGCTGTGAGTATAAATATGTAATGCAAACATGTAAGTAAATATATATTTTCTCTACATATCCTGGGTACCAATGACCTATGATGATAGTCTTAATGTTCCTAGTTAATTTTAGGGCCCCTGTCTGCAATTTCAACACAAAATAAAACAAAAATAAATAAACGACACACATTTTCTCCAGCGCTGAGACTACCACAGTTCCTCCTCACCTAACTTCATCCTGGAGTGTCTGGGCGGCGCTCACTGCAATGCATCTATAACTCTGGAGGCAAGGTTGACGTGTGCTTCCAAGCCTTCTTATTATTAAAATACTGTCATTTGGGGCCACAAGGAACCCTCTACAACTGTAGGCACAATAACAACTTCATTTTGATAAAGTTGTTATAGTAAGAACAGTGTTCCTTTAAAGAACCACTATAGGCACCCACTTCACTTCAGCTTAATGAAGTGGTCTGGGTGCTAGGTCCATCTAGGGTAAACCCTGCCTGCTGTAAACATAGCAGTTTCAGAGAAACTGCTAAGTTTACTTTAGGGTTAATCCAGCCTCTAGTGGCTGCCTCATTGACAGAAGCTAGAGGCGCTTCCGCGCTTGATGCCAGCGTCCATAGGAAAGCATTGAGAATGCTTATGGATGGACTGACTGCGCGCGACTCTTGGAGGAGGAGAGTCCCCAGCACTGAAGAAGCCCGGCACTGGAGAAAGGTAAGGGATTAACCCCTTCCTCAGCCTTCAGCCCGGCGGGAGGGGCACCCTGAGGGTGGGGGGGACCTATTAATACTATAGTGTCAGGAAAACGAGTTGGTTTTCCTGGCACTATAGTGGTCCTTTAAGTCATATTTGGTCAGATGCAATTCTCCAACTCAAGACCATGTAGGTAATTAAGAACCTGTGTGCTTTTGTGAACCTTAGTATCATGTGAAAGTGCCAGGCAACTCAATAATGAGCTCTGGGCTGTTTTTAGCTGTTTAAATTGCACATGGGTTTGAAGTTGTTATGTCTGAGCAAAGAGAACTAAAAAGGATAGGTCAAGAGATGCACTAAAAAGTGGTGTTATGTTGTAGCTACAAATAATACACAAAGACGATATAATGCATACACTCTAATATTTCCAACAGAGAAAGAAAGAAATCTCACCTTTTTATCCTGAGCCAAGACCTTCTTCTCCATCAGCCCATTCCTTCTTGGGTGCTGTAATTCACTATCG